GTTTGTAGTAGTTTATCTAGATGATATATTAGTTTTCAGCGGGACCCTCCAAGAGCATCAGGGTCATTTGAGGCAGGTCTTGGAGAAGCTAAGAGAGGCTAACTTCAAGATCAACCCGAAGAACTGCGAGTGGGCCAAGACACAAGTTTTGTACTTCGGCCACGTTTTAGACGGAGATGGTATTAAGCCAGAGGACAGCAAGATAGCCGCAATTAAAGACTGGCCGACGCCCCACACATAAACAGAGTTTCGGTCGTTTTAAGGCCTAGCTAACTATTATAGGAAGTTCGTGAGGAACTTCTCTACTATCGCCGCTTCCCTGCGCAGGTTGCTTAAGAAAGAGGCAATCTGGCAATGGGACAAAGACTGTACGTCTGCGCTAAAGAAGTTAAAGCGCGCATTGATAGAATACCCTATCCTCAAAGTAGCTGATCCGTCTTTGCCATCCTTAGAACACTAGAAGCATTACCTGCTTGGGAGGCACTTCAAAGTATACTCAGACCACGAAACTCTTAGATGGTTCAAGACCCAGGCCAAGACGTACAAGAGAGAACCCTACGCTCTCAAGCAGGCCTTAGAACACTGGAAACATTATCTGCTTGGGAGGCACTTCAAAGTATACTCAAACCACGAAACTCTTAGATTGTTCAAGAACCAGGCCAAGATGACACCTAAGCAAACTAGGTGGGATAGACGAATATGACTTCAAGCTCAAACCGGTCAAAGGCAAGTACAATGTAGTTGCGGATGCTTTAAGTAGGAGATCAGACTACTTTGCATCTATAGTGCACTATCTGGACATAGGAAAGGACCTGCAAGAGAAAGTCCGACAGGCGTACGCCCAGGACCCTATCTATAGTGACCTCCTCAAGAGAGTTAAGGAGGCCCCAAAGATTGAACCAGACTACCGCACTACTGAGGGACTATTGTTTGAGACAGCCTGTGCATCCCCAACAGTGAGGAGATCCGTAATCTAATCCTAGGGGAATGCAATGACACAGAGGGACACTTCGGTTCGCAAAAGACTTCAGCCAATCTAATGCGTGCGTACACCTGGCCAAGAATGAAAGCTGACTGCGTAGAGTATGTTCGCAGTTGCAAAGTTCGTCAGCGAAACAAGAGCACTACGCGCGCCCCTCTAGGTCTTCTCAGGCCCTTGCCTATTCCAGACCAGCCGGGAGACTCAGTCTCCATTGATTTTATGGATGCCGGTGTCAAGAGTAGACACGGCCAGACCCAAGTCATGGTCATAGTTATCAAGTATACCGTTTTTGTTCCCTTGCCTGCAGAGGCCCGTACGGATTTAGTTATACAAAAGTTCTTTGACATTTGGATTAGTGAAAATGGAGTCCCGTTGTCAATAGTTAGCGATAGGGATAGTCGCTTCACCAGCCAGAACTGGCAAGAACTCATGGGAGTTTACGGATCTAAGTTGTTGATGTCGTCTGACATCCACCAAGAGACCAATGGTCAGACCGCGCAAATGAACAAGATCCTACAGCAAGTTCTGCGCATGTACATTAGACCCGACCAGATCAACTGGGACGAGATGTTACCTAAGGTAGCTAGTGCATACAATAACAGCCTGCAGTTGTCCACCTGTCGCACTCCCAAAAAGCTGCACAAGTCCTTTAGACCGCGCAGACCATTCGAAGGACTGAACCGGGATCAGGTTCACCGGTTACCACCCGGTACCAGGGAGTTTGCGATTCAGCACGATAAAAAATTAGCTACCATTGTTGAAAACGTCAGGAAGGCCCAGCACAGAATGATAGAACAGGCTAATAAGCACCGTCATCCCTCGCAGTTTCAGGTAGCCGACTTAGTCTGGGTCAAGTCTAAAGAGTTTGCACCTGAGGAGCACATCTCGCAGAAGTTACTACCTGCATATAGAGGACCGTGGCCGGTTCTAGAAGTCAAGGGCGGAGAGGATGGGCCGTCCTACACAATATTGATTCCAGCACACCCTCCACAAGTCAACAGTTCCCTTCAAGAAGATCCATGATCCCACCGGATATGAATGGAAGATATGACATTGACGGCATTGTTGATGAAGATGTGTTCAGGACAGGAGGTAGAGGTCGTCTACAGAAACAGTATAAGGTCCGGTTTACTTATCAGGAACCGGAAGACGACCGCTAGTTTACTAGAACAGAACGTCTAGAAACAGCTCCCGACATAGTCAGAGCCTATGAGCGTGATAAGAAGGGTAAAGGTCCTGCCTTGGACTGAAATATTCTCGGAGGACCTCGAATTTAGGACGGCGGGAGTGAAACGGTGTTCACCTCTTTGCAGTAGCAGACGCAGATCCCAGGGTTCGATCCCTAGACCTTGCCCTACCTGTGTACAGTACCTGTGTAGACCCCGAGAGTCAAACCTGTGACCTGTGTCTTTGTAAACAGTTGGTAGGCTGTCATAGGTCGATAGTTAGCAGGCGTTCAATCTGTAGACCTATAGATAGAAGTCTTAGCAAATTCCAGAAGACTTAGTTGTAGCCCTTCTAGAAGGTCAGCCAGTGGGCAAGTGGTGAGTCAAGTGGTGCACTAACTGCAGTGCAATTGCAGTACGACCTCGGTAGGTTAGCAATGAGTCCCCACTCAGTCAGCGGTAAGGTCCAGTCAGTCCCAGTCCGGTTCAGCAAGTACCACAAGGGACTCTGAGCACCATGGGCCGATGGCAAAGGGGCAGCGCCCAGCCATTCATTCATTCCTGCGTGAGCCATAGCGACTTGTGCAAGGAGGTCTGCAGTGAGCCCGGAGTTGAAGTGGGCGAGAGAGAAGGAGCGTAGCATAGCGATAGGGTAGCTGTGGCCATAGCCGCCATAGTTAGAGTTAGTGTGTAGCATGTGTGTGTGTGTACGAGTGTTCAGACTAACACGTGTGGGATATCCAGGGTGATCCGGTGAATGTGAATAGTGAGTTGTTTGGGCGCTGAGTCACCATAGCCAGTTGAAAGTGAACTCGTATCTGGTTGCCATATCTCTGAGTTTTGAGTGGCCGCATGTCGCCAGTTTGCTGCGCTACTGTTTACATGCATGAAAAGTGTGAATGAAAGCGAGTCTGATTGCATCATGCAGAGATACACTTCAAACTTGTACTCGCTGAGGGTGGGCAGAGAATATATAGTCTGGATTCGAATTCAAGTCTGTGCATGTCGTTTATGGGTCACCATTTCTCTGTTGTCTCGCTTTTCTTTTCTTTTCTCGTTTTTCTTTTCTTAGGAATATGTGCAGTGGCCCTAAAGGGCTTTACTCACCAAATGCACAAAAAACACAACATATGGTGGCTTATTATTCCACGTTCTGCAGAGGATTCATTCTAATTTTGCACATTTCGTGAGTAGTGCAGCCAAGCCATAAGAGTCACGTGCAGAGACCAACAGGCCCTAGCCACGTGAGCAACCCATAACTGCTGAAACACAGACCTGAATTCGAATCTTGAGTATATATTCGGCCAGCTCGTGCTCTCTTTCATATTCACTGCCTGCCTCGATTTTGGTGGGGGGGTCTGTGCTACATGTCTGCGAGGACCCTTCAGATAGCCTGCATGGGCCGTCTGAGCCGTGTTAAGGAGATCCATTCTCTCTCTCTCTCTCCCCCCCCCTTGCATACACACACCCCTTACAAAAAAAAAGGAAGAAAAAAATGCATCTGCGCCCCATCAAAGAAACCCCCCCAACCCCAGCACCCCCACCCAGACCAACCCCCCCATCCCCCCACCAAAACCAAAAATTTTATAGCAGATTCGGGGTCCTCTCGCCGAGCACAGAACGACCCCGGTTTCAAAAAAATAATAAAAAAAATTCTTGGCGTTTTTTTGTCCTGCCCGGTTTACCCGGGCGCCCCCCCCCCAGGCCCAACCGACTAGGCCCAGCCCGTCAGGGCAGGCCCGGCCGGGCGGCGTCCTCACTCAGCTAATCATATATAATTCGACCTATTTTTGTAAAATCTTTCTATTGTTTAGTAATGCCAGCACCATTTTGACGTGTTTCGATTATTTCAAACAAGAAACTTTGAATGCTACGTAATACCATGATCGACTGTGTCGAAGACTTGTGCCTTGGACTGTGTGTGCACTTGCTTGAGATTCGTGGTTCACTTTTCAATTATAGGTACTCACTCCACTCGCATGAGAATAACATTGTGGACGATGCACTTACTTACTATACTGCGTGGAAAGATTGGAGGGACTAGGAAGAGAAGAGGTAAACATGGAAAGATTGGAGCACTTACTATACTACACCACAAGACGCTGGAAAGTTGAAACCCATTTTGTCAAACCTGGGATTCAGTGTTAGCTGGATTTTTTGGGGTGAGTTTTTATTGCTAAACATTTTATCTGGCATGGCGGTGTAGGGGGTGACCTTTTATTCCTAGCATTTTCCCTGGCATGGTGGTACCTACACTATGTCCATGATTTTTCTCTCTTGATTTTCTATCAGACGACACGAGAACCAGAAACCAGCAAATTGGGGACATTCAAAATTCCCTTTCCGGTCCCTTGCCCTAAAGCACAACCAACACTCACCCCAATCAGCAAAAACACCACATAAAAAGGTTTGGTCCGGCACATTAAGAAATTGGTCCAGATGCGTTTAGTATAGCATCAGCTTATCAAACGCCTAGACCCCTCACCAATTCAACTAATTCAATCACATTGCATCACCCATCGCTATGCAGCTGCTGTGAAAGCAGGTACAACAGACCCTGTTAATCCACTATTATGGGAACTCTTGTAATAAGACTTAAAAGCTGTCTCTTATACACATCTAGATGTGTATAAGAGAAAAGAGTGGGAACTCTTTAGAATAGCATGAGCCTATCAAACGCCTAGACCCCTCACCAATTCAACTAATTCAATCACATTGCATCACCCATCGCTACGCAGCTGCTGTGAAAGCAGGTACAACAGACCCTGTTCGATCAACTATTCTGGGAACTCTTCTGATAAGACTTAAAAGAGTGTTATCTACAGGATGTGTTGGAGGATTTGCTCACTCACCGCTATTGCCGATCCACCAGGTCCTCTCATCAAGTCCAGTGTGCCTCGAATTGCTGACAACAGCTCTGAGACTGGCTGATCCCGATTTGTAGCAGCACCTCCCCCAGAACTAGCTGTTGATACACCTAAGGTAGCCATATCTGGGGACTGTACTTGCCCTCCCATCGGTGTACTTGCAGACACAGTCACAGCACTCGCAGGCACTGTTGCAGTGCGTGTTGGCACAGTCACAACACTTGCTGGCGTCACCACAACACTGACCGGCACAACTGGAGCACTCAATGACATGGGCACATCACTCACAATATCACTAGCGATAACCTGGGACTGACCAGCACTGGCAGAGCTGCGATCAGAGCTACTAACATGTGCATCAGTCCGCACTTGCCCCACAGGTGCCTGTGCTGCCTCCGGAAGATTCTCACCAGTATTTTGTCTTAGACCTGCTACTTCTGTGCTGGGAATGTCCATTGATGTGCTTGGCTGCGGTCTAGGTCGTGAAGCTGCCCCTGGTCTGTCTGTGGATTGTCGGCACCCAAACAAGGCCAATAACAGAAAAGATAACAGAGAATTAGTAAAAACAGCCTTACTAATGAAAACCTTCACAATCTCATTCTGGTCCGCAAATCTGCATACCGGATAACATAACAAAAGAAACTGCACATAACAACTGCATACATAAGGATAAAAGACCATCACAAGACGCCAACAGAAAAGAACCACCCAAGACACGACACTGACACTGCTGCCTTGCAAAGGGGAGCAAGCCTGACAACTGGCTGAGATGGTGTTATGGAGCAACCACGAACACAAGTCATACTACTTGAACTTCGGAGCACCAACATATAAAACACTAATGCGGCTAGAGGGAAAAAAAACAAACAAAAAAAGAAACACCGCCATACAGGTGGCTGGCGTTCGGGACGGGGCGAACGCCTGAACCCGAACGCCCGAATGCACGGGATCCCTTGCGGATGCGTTAGGTGCTTCGGGCCAAACACGGACCCCCCCCCCAAAAAAAAAAGAACATATGTTATGCAGAAAGATAAAATAAACAACATTTGCCTGAGCATTACATCCAACCAAATTAAAAATAAAAATAAAATACGGACAATAAACAGCAAGGAAAATAAGCAACAGCGAGATGACAAATCCAGATTACACCATCACATTGAAAGCCAGATAGTCATACTGTGTCCAGAGAGCAGCATTGCACCAATAATACACCAATGGAGGTTCGTAGTACTGGAAACCAATGTCAAGGAGAGCTTTCTCTCTCTGCCAACAACACAAGAGTCCAGTCCCTTCACACTCCTACTTGGCGCTCAGCGCCCAGCCTACTCCTACACAGCTACGATCGGCCTACTAATAGACAATGCAACTGCTGACATCAGCGCCAACCCGAAGTACTTGAATGTCGCCCAAATGCAGACCATCGCCAATACAAGGTATGTGCCCTCACATCATCATCATCCTTTGCCCTTCCCTGACTTTACACCAACGTCTTCCTCCCTTACACCCGACGAAGACCACTCATGCGCCTCACTGTAGTCCAAGCCCACCAGCTATGGTGGCTGGGCTATGGCGCTGCCCTCAGCAGCGCCCTTCTTCCCTGCACGACCGCACGTGCTGCACCTCCCCTCTCAGTGCCAGCAGCAGCTCACGAGCATTTGCTCCAGCAGCGCTGCCGCTAGCATGAGAGTGCCCGAATGCCGCTGCCTGGGGAGAGCTCTTTCCTTTATGGAAAGAGTTGGACTGCTCGTGCAGCCTGGCTGTACTGGCCTGGGCCCAAAAGCTTCCGGAAGACCCCAGGATGCTGCCTTTGTGCTGCAGCTACTGGGCCTCGTTCGGTTGGGCCTCCCAACTGTCAGTGTATGAGGCTGTGATTCACGCCCAGGGCCTGCACTCTTTGGAAAAGCCCGGTAGGCCCTGGAAATGTCTTTATTGCTCAGCCTGCGTTTCTCTCAACCAACTGGCGCGTGGCAACTGCCTGGACCCCAAATATGAAATTGACAGTCGAGGGCCTTCTGCGATATGTTAGGCTCGCCCTCACTTAGGGCGGGCAACTTTGCAACAGGCGCCCCTCAGGCCTCATCAGGACCCTGGTCCTCGCATTCCCTCCTCCTTTACTTCGTTAGTCCTCTGAGAAGTTTCTTATTCTGCAGGCATCTTCCCCTTTAGTTCTCTTTCATAGCCTGCAATCACTCGAGGTGCTGTTCTCATGAGTTCTTCTCGTGTGAACCATCGATCTTCTTCAGGATCCAGATAATGTCTGAAGCTAAATTGATACTGCATTCTCGGTTTAGGAGGGCGCCCTCTGCCTGATGGTCGAGGAACAGGCATCATTCGATGCTCCACGATCTGGTCGATGTCCACCTCGCCATCCATGGTTGGGAGCAGCATTGACCTTCTTGAAGGAAACTGCTCTGTTGCAGCGAAAGGTGCCAACTTCGAAGCATGGAAAACAGGGTACGTACGTAAGTGGGGAGGGATGCGAATTACGTACGATGGCCCATCCGGTTGATCCCGGACAATGTCCAAGATCTCCCAGGGCCCAAAGTATTGTGGCATCAACTTCCGTGAGATCCCCATCTCTTGACCTAGTTTAGATGACTTTACCCAGACTCTCTCACCTACCTGAAAGTTAGAGGGCCGTCTATGTCTATTCTCAGATGCGATCATAGCATCCTGAGACTTCCTGATTTGTTCAACGGCCTGTTGCAGCATATGTTCGTACGTTACAGCAAACTGTATGCTACCAGGTGCTGCAGTGTGTTGCCTTTCTGGTACCAGAAAGTTAAGCGCACTTCTGGGCCTCCAACCAAGATGTAGTTGGTTGGGAGTCGCACAGGTAGTACTGTGCACAGTGTTATTGTACAGGCTGGCGACGAGAGGTAACTTCTCGTCCCAGTCATCCTGACTCTGCTTGCTATAATGCTGAAGCAGGTGCTGTACTACCCCGTTCATCTGTTCGGCTTGGCCATTTGACTCAGGGTGATTACCTGAAGTCATTTGGAGTTTGGTGCCCATCCGTTCAGCAGTGGATTGCCACAGTTCACTGGTAAACCGTATATCCCTATCACTTACCATAGATGTAGGGAGTCAAAAATCGAGTACCCAGTTGTCTAGAAACAGCTTGATGATAAAGTCAGTTTTCGCAGTTTCTGGCATGGCGCCAAGTCTTGCATACTTAGAGAAACGGTCTACTATCACGAAGATGTGTCTTTTCCCAGATTTGCTGGTCACAAGCGTATCCATGAAATCCATGGACACGCTCTGACCAGGGCCTTCAAGAATCGGCAAGGGCTTGAGGAGCCCAAGCGGAGCCTGAGTCCTAGGTTTGCCCCTTTGACAACATACTTCTTTGCATCTTGCATCATAGTAGGCCACCAGAATTTCTGCACTAGGTTAGCTGAAGTGTCCAGTGACATTCTCCTAAAAATAAACTACGTAAAGCTACACTATTCGGAACACAACCTTATATTCCCTGCCTTCACAAGAAACAGCAAGCCATCTACCATCGTAAATTCATCCACCGTCTTTTTGTCCTTGGTTTGAAATCTACGGATGATCTCAAACATAACTGCATCTTGCTGATAGGCATCCTCCAATGATAGAGTTAAGTCGCTAAATATGCCAAATTCAGTCACTAGTGCGCCCAGATAGTCTGCCCTACGAGATAGTGCATCAGCTACTTTGTTATACTCACCCTTGATTGGATCAAGTTGGCAGTCATACATGTCTATCACTTGTATCCATCGCTCGAGTGCGTCAGGGAGTACCGGCTTTGTCTAAATCCAGTGCAAGGTCTCATGGTCAGATCTCACATACAAGAATCTGCCAAGGAGATAACGTCTCCAATGAACGAGCGCTCTGTATAGGGTATAGAGCTCACGCTCGTACATGGACTTCGCTAGCTTTTGAAATGGCATCTTCTTACTCATGTACTCGATCGGTCTCAACTTTTTCCCCTCCTTCTGCACAAGGACCGCGCCTATGCCATATTGGCTGGCGTTTGTGGTCACGACAGAGGGCTGATCAGGATCAGGAAGTTTGAGAACCTCGTAGTGTGTTAGGGGGGATGCCATAGTACTATAATTCTTAACAAAAGGTCGATAGTAGCTCGTCATCCCCAAAAATGATCTGACCTCAGTAACATTATGAGGTCTGGGCCAGTCACGTATGCTGGCCACCTTGGCATCATCCGGCCTCAGTCCATCTGCTGAGATTTCAAGACCTGAGTATAAAATCTTGGTGCAACCAAACTCGCATTTCTCCAAGTTAACCTTGCACTGGTGCTGTCTTAGGAGACCTAGCACTATTTTCAAGTGCTCAGCGTGCTCCTCTACAGTCCTACTACATATAAGAATATCGTCGAGGTACACGACAATAAACTTGTCTAAGTAATCATGACAAATCTTGTTCACCGCGTGCTGGAACGTACCAGGTGCATTGCATAGACCAAAGGGCATCACCACAAACTCGTACAACTCGTACCCGGTTTGAAATCCGATTTTGTGCTGATCCGCACGTCTAATCGCAATTTGATGATATCCGGACTTCAAATCTATCTTGGTCAAGTACCGGCATCCCTGCACTCTATCCAAGAGGTCATCAATGCGGGGTAGGGGCTCCGGGTTCTTAACGGTGATGGCATTGAGGCCCCTATAGTCAATGCACATCCTCAAGGTACCTCCCTTCTTCAGTACGAATAGGATTGGAATGCCGGAAGGGGAGGTACTAGGCCGAATCCATCCCTTCTCTGAGAGCTCCTTGAGCTGGCGACGGAGCTCATCTAACTCCGCAGGAGACATCCTATAGATTCGTCCTCTAGGCACCTTACTACCTGGGACAAACTCTATTGCATGGACAACCTCCCTTTCTACCGCGCCTGTGGGCTCCTAAAAAAGGTCTGAAAACTGAGCGACGACTGAATCTATCTCCAGGGGTGTTTTTACGGCCTCACCTTTCTCAGAGACAAATACTAGATGCATGCCTTCCTCGCGATTCTGCTTATAACAGTTATAAAAAGATGATGCACACATGCACCCGTAGTTTTCTATCAGACTGCTAGCTTTAAACTTCTGCAATCCAACAGATCTACCGTTGGGCAATTTGTGAATCAACACCTTTCTATCCCTGTCAAACTGGGGTTGCGCGACCTCGAGATAGTACATACCTAGTCAAAAGGCAGTTCGTCGTTAACCAGGAAGGAGATTTTATGGCTCACTTCCCCTCCTCCATAGGAGAAGGTACATACTACGTCCTTGACATAGTCTCTTAACAACATTTGGTGCTTGTTGGCCAGCGTAGAAGCTACAGTTCTGCTAAGCCGATGCACTTGGTCCCCTAAGCGCAGTCTATCCACACAAGCACGACTGATGAAGTTTCGCGTAGAGCCTGTGTCAGCAAAGGCACCCACTTTACAGCCACCTACATCAACCTCTACCACGAAGTGTTCACCCTTTGGACCTCTACTGATCATCGCCCAAGAGTCTCTGGGGTCCTTCACTGACCA